ACGCGTCAAAATTTTTCCAGAGCTATCTGAGTTAACGCCAGCAGTGTGTAAAAATCGGATCAAGTTGCTTCGAACTTGCAACTGTACAATGTGGAATTCCACAGGGTTCGATAATTGGCCCATTAATGTTCCTCCTTTTCGTCAATGATCTTCCGCACGCCACTAACTTGCTTGTCAAACTCTTTGCTGATGATACCGGATTGTTTGGAAGTTCAGCTTCTCCAAATGATTTGAAATTGGGTATGAACTCTGAAATGGATAAAATTTCAACTTGGATGACTAACAATAAACTCACGATTAATGTCGAAAAATCTAAATGCCTATTGATTAGCCACAAAAATAATCGTAAAAATAAAATTCGACTTGAGATTAGCATTAATGGATCTCTACTCGAAAATGTGAACTCATTTAAATACCTTGGCATCCACATTGATGATCAAATGAAATGGGCCACCCATATTAACTATGTTGCTGGAAAGCTGGCAAGTGCAACTGGTATGTTATACAAACTTAGAAAATTTCTTACCATGCCAGTCCTTCGAATGATCTATTTTTCTCTTTTCCAGTCATATCTACAGTATGGTATCATATCATGGGGTAACGCATCGACTACTCTCCTTCGAAGATTGGAGGTTTTACAAAACAAAGCAGTTCAATCCATATGTAACGCACCATTTCGGTCTAGACTAGATCCTTTATACCACAGAAGTGGAATAATTAAACTTGATCATATTCATGAATTTGAGGTACTGAAACTCATGCACCAGTACTTTGATGACAAACTTCCCATGGCATTCACCGAATTTTTTACGAAGCAGAGTAATATCCATTCCTACTCTACCAGATCGGCTTCATCAGGTTCATTCCATGTCCCAAGGTACTCCTCGAGCAGAACACAGAAATCCATTAAATATATAGGTGTGAAACTGTGGAACGCTTTACCTAATACCATTAGATCCTTTTAAAAGTGCAATATGCTAGGGATCTAATGGTATTAGGTAAAGCGTTCCACAGTTTCACACCTATATATTTAATGGATTTCTGTGTTCTGCTCGAGGAGTACCTTGGGACATGGAATGAACCTGATGAAGCCGATCTGGTAGAGTAGGAATGGATATTACTCTGCTTCGTAAAAAATTCGGTGAATGCCATGGGAAGTTTGTCATCAAAGTACTGGTGCATGAGTTTCAGTACCTCAAATTCATGAATATGATCAAGTTTAATTATTCCACATCTGTGGTATAAAGGATCTAGTCTAGACCGAAATGGTGCGTTACATATGGATTGAACTGCTTTGTTTTGTGAAACCTCCAATCTTCGAAGGAGAGTAGTCGATGCGTTACCCCATGATATGATACCATACTGTAGATATGACTGGAAAAGAGAAAAATAGATCATTCGAAGGACTGGTATGGTAAGAAATTTTCTAAGTTTGTATAACATACCAGTTGCACTTGCCAGCTTTCCAGCAACATAGTTAATATGGGTGGCCCATTTCATTTGATCATCAATGTGGATGCCAAGGTATTTAAATGAGTTCACATTTTCGAGTAGAGATCCATTAATGCTAATCTCAAGTCGAATTTTATTTTTACGATTATTTTTGTGGCTAATCAATAGGCATTTAGATTTTTCGACATTAATCGTGAGTTTATTGTTAGTCATCCAAGTTGAAATTTTATCCATTTCAGAGTTCATACCCAATTTCAAATCACTTGGAGAAGCTGAACTTCCAAACAATCCGGTATCATCAGCAAAGAGTTTGACAAGCAAGTTAGTGGCGTGCGGAAGATCATTGACGGAAAGGAGGAACATTAATGGGCCAATTATCGAACCTTGTGGAATTCCACATTGTACAGTTGCAAGTTCGGAGCAACTTGATCCGATTTTTACACACTGCTGGCGTTAACTCAGATAGCTCTGGAAAAATTTTGACGCGTGGCCGCGAAAACCATAATGGTTCATTTTTCTAATTAGTATGCTATGGTCAACAATATCGAATGCCTTTTTGAGGTCAAGACGCTGGACGTATGACCAACGCTTAATCATAGTATCTTTCTATCGAGTGAATCTGCCAACCAGTTGTAAATCACAATAGAAAAATAAAAAATATGAGGATACTTTGCCTTTTCTACTGAGATTGAATCCACAAAATTTGTGCTAAAATATTCGTAGCGGTATAAAAACTTTGACAGGTATTGCTTCGATAATTTAATTGTGAATAATGTGTCAGTTTAGTTTAGACGAATGTGCTTAATACAAGGTCATGAGTACCTGGAAGAGTGTCGTCGCAAGTTCTACGCTCACGCTCCTTCAATCAAAAGCGTACTGAAAGGATAATAGCCACCACTATGGCGCTAAGTATTTTATATATATAATATCCATGTGCCACTACAAAACTCTTCATTGCCAAAAATTGTTTTCTTCGATCGTAGAACGGCAGAGATGAAATATATCTAATATTCAGCATTTGCATAAATATCTAGGTGTCATTAATATGAGGCACTGTGGGATGATGACGTACAGAAAAATGACGTGTAATTGATTACAATAATAGTTGACTATATTGGCCATCACGGAGTAGGTGGTTCACACACCTTTAGTGCGTTACTTATCCCTTCTGTCTATAACGACGGCCGTGCATTTGACAATAGTAATATAACAGCCATACTCGATTTGGTGACTAAACAAATCGTCTTGGATAGACAGGATGTCAAAAGACAACTACACATTCATTGGTTAGCAACCAGTGCATATATTTGTTAAAGAATCCAGTTCGATGGATTAGGCAAGACATTGGTGTTGTTAGTATTCTTCTAGTTGTTGATGCTACTGTTGTATCGAACTACCGGACCAATTGCTTCGAAATTACCTGTGGTTAAAGTTTGTTATTGTCACTGAAAGGCTATTACCTTCATTTATTTTAAAAAAAATTGTTTTGTCCAAGGAAATCGTTTTTTTGGTATGTGTCACCAGAGTTAAAAATTGCATTCTGTGTGGCGGTTGGGCAATCTGTTGGTCAGTGAGGTCGGTATTTTATTTTTTTTTTGATGAGGAAGACTATCGATACTGTAAAAGATTTGATATTGTTCGTTTTGCTATCTTGTTTCCGCGTGACCTAACGCTGAATATTCCACCATACACTCAAAATCGCCAGGGGAAAACCCCTAAAATGAAGTTCGCGTTTTAGAACTGACGAAAAAGAAAGCAGTAAAATATATCAACAATTTAAAGTTACTTATCAAGCGTGGAACGCATCAAAACTAGATCTGCTTTGAGGTAAATAAACAAAAATAAATCTTGGCGTGAAATAAAAAAAAATAAAGAACATGAATGAATATGTTTAAATACTACGGACTGCAAAATCTATTCAACTTTGCGTTTTTCGTAATAGTGTACGTATCTTGTCTATACTTGTCTATTTTCAACAATACACAAGCATTTTTGAAGTCTCGCCCACTCGCTTCTAAACGTTGCTATCGTTAAGATTGTGAACAACGCTATTTGGGAATCGAATAACTAAGCAGCGTTGCTACATTCGGTATCGCATTTGGAGATATCTTTATAAAAACAATGATTCAGACGAAACCGCTTGTTCAAGTAATATCATACGCCACGGATGTCGTTGTATTAGGGCAGTGATTCCCAAACTGTGGGTCGCGACCCCGAGTGGGGTCGCGTGAAGATTTTCCGGGGTCGCCTTATTTCTTATAACATGCACACACAAGTGACTAGGATTTAAAAGTTGGAAGGTGGAATTTTGTGCTGGTCGGCATGTACCGAATAAAGACAAAATGTCACTATTTTCAGCAATAACCCGATCATTTATTGTCCAAACGGCGCCAATATTTATGAGGAAGGCTACTTTCCAGCTGGTCGACAGGTACCGGTATTAGTAAATGCAATTGAGTAACAGTGTTACGAACGCCAATATTATTTTCCTTTATCAATCGATCCTTGATCATGTTACATTCGAATGAGTAATTGACCTTAGTCCTTATCTTTCATTCATGAGTAACTGGAAGCTGAACCAGTGTTCCACCCGTTGCTACGCGAACTGGATTTTTTTCCAGGCTGCGAGAAATTATGTTGGTTTGTTATTTTGTACAAGTTTTACCGCTTGCTAATCAAATATACAAAGCAAATTCGCTTTATTTGGTGATCGGCCCCTAATTAAGTATTTGACAAGTATGGCGTTGATTGCCAGGCGGTGTCCAGCCCTGTTCAGTATCAAGTAATTATTGACTCGATTAATGTCATGTGAATAAACTTGCTTTTTAAGTTTTATGTAAATTTTAACGTAAATCGTAACATGGCTGATGGTCAAGTTTCGCAGTGAATTTCTGGCTCGTTGCGGACTCATTTAAACGCTCCGCGGACTCATTTGAGACCGCGGACTCGGGTTGGAAAACACTGGTCTAGAAGAAACTTCGCTATATACCGTAACATTGGGTTCTACATTTTTGAGATATTTATTTGCGTTCCGAATACCTCTCACGAGCAGTTGTAACGAAAGAAAGCACAACCGAACTATGGCTTCGTATTCCACCAGGGAGAACACAATCATTTAATTTAACCAAATGAATATCTTGCGAAGCGTTGCGAGTTGTTCATGCGGCACATTACGGCTCACATGTAACTAAAATCGTATTTCCATCAGCCATTTTGACCTTGTATAAAATACATTTCCGCGAAATTATTTTCTCCCAAATGTACGTTATCGCCAAAGTATTTGTTCGCATAACTTTATTTTCGCCAAGATATATTAACACACAATTACAGCCGCGCAAACTGTTTGAAGAGGTAGAACTACATTTGAAAAAATATATTGTGGTGGAGCTGTATTTGGCAACACTACTTCTGGAAAGATGTTTCTCCTTAACTTTTCATAGCCGCCACCAATCCGTCATTCCCGAAATAAAGTAGCAATTTTATATAGTGATATTCTATTACTTTTATCTACATTCCACCATTATATCCATAGCATTTCAGACACAAGGTACATGAATTATTAACTTTATTACAGGTTCAAACTAATACCATCAACTTCAGCATTACCACCTTGCCATTCAAGCTAGATATAAAATCCCATTATAATTTGCACAAGCATATCATGTTAGTATTACGGTTAAACGACTAACAGAACAAAATTAGAAAACAGATAGGTTGGTTGATGTTACATTTACAAACAAAAGCTACACAAGGTTTTGCAGTTTGGACTGTTTGAATTCTTCTAAGGCAGGGGTGTGCAACATTTTTGTCGTTGGGCCATATAACTAACTTTAGAGTTTAGCTAGACACACAGAAAAGAGAATGCGGCCATCGTTTAGCTTTCCAGTAATAAAGACGCCGGTCAAAACTGCGAAAAACTTAACGCAGCGAAAGGAGCAAAATTATTTATCCATGTGGGCGCATTTTTAAACATGAACAGTCGGATTAGAATTTATGCTAGATGGGGAAAATTTGAGTGTTTATATGGGCCATGAATGGCTTAGCGTATCGGACTGTTGCATACCCCTTATCTGAGGGAACTTCTGAATTATATTTTGATTATATCTGTAAGAATCAGATTTTATTTGATTGAATATCGCGATACTAACACAGTTACGTTCAACACCAACATTTTACGTCAGGCGTTCTTAAACTATTGATGATATATAGTCCGTGAAAAGATTGACCATTATATACGGAGACCTATAATGAGGTTATGAAAATAATATCAAAAAACACATTGGTATTTACACAATTTAGTGCCGGAATGAGCCAACTAGGCTGTAATTGAAATATGACATCATTCATTGGAACTCATAGATAACGCCATATTTGTATTACCGCCTAGTTACCACATTTCGACTCTGCCGTTGTTAAATATGAATTAGCCATGTCAGTGTTTAAATATGTGTTTGAATAAATTGCAGATCCCCAGGTTTCCATCACGGGTTCCTTGGTTTTCCGAATAAAGCACTTTGAGAATCTATGTTTTAGGGCACAACACTAAATAAAGACAGTCAGCATAAAGATGTGTAAGTCGAGCATCGAGAAAATTACGCCATTCCTATCATTTGGAGAGTGGACTTTCCTATGGTAAGTGCTGCTTCGCCTCCTAACTTGACTCCGATTGCGGGAAGACCGAAGGAGGATAAAGCACCCAAACCACCCAACGTATAAGCCACTGTACCTACATTCCTGACGTAATCCATGTAACCCTGCAAAATTAAAAAACAAATGAAAACAATCTAATCGATACTAGCTGATCTTACCGTATTATTAATTTCCTTGAAATTACCATCTTGGAGTTTGAATTTTTCATATTTTACATAAAGCGATACCTTATCATGGCCAGTTCCCTCGTTAATTCTTTCTTACTTCTTAATTTGAGGTGTCAGATTAATCATACTTACCGATTGTTTCAAACTCCCTATTTCTCCTTTTAGATGTTCCTGATAAAAAGAAACGTATTCAGATGATGACTACTCACACTTTATCTCACTACAAACACTGGGTGCCTTGAATTGGTGTCTTTTACTTAAAGTAACTAACATTAAATAGACAAACGCTTTATATAAACACTTTGTGCATTTTATCGCTGACATACATTATCTCTGTCTTTTTGTCTTATGGTATCCTTGAAGTATTCGTTGTCAAAAGTCAACTTTTCAATTTTGTTCAACAGAACAGTTGTCTGTTTCCGATTTTCTTCTTCGCGCTGTTCCTGTAAAAATAAATTTGATAATAAATCGGATGAAAAGCATTTTATTTTTTTTACCCCCCCCCCCCCCCCCCCCCCCCCCCCCCTAAAAAAACATTAGGACCTGGTGCCGTGCTTCCACATATAATTGAGTCGTTTTGTCGGTTTCCGTTCCCCATTGGTCATGAAAAGAATCTTAATTCTGAAGTTCACACTTGGTCGTTCTAACTAACCAACCTGCATTGTCTCAATCGCCTGAAGCGTAAGCATGAAAGGGAAGTCAAATCTACTACTTACCATGTATTCGTCCTTTTGCTTCATTTTATTCTCAAGATTTTCGATTTTGTTCAAAAGTTCAGTCATCTGCAAAAAGAATAAGTTCAAAAATTAGTGTAAATTTGTGAAGCGGCGACACTGTTGGAACCAAGCATTCGGATAGTTTATCCACTCAGAAAAATTTGCGGACATGATTATAAACATCTGCTCGTTTTCGTGGTTTTGCTCTCAATTCGTCAGTTTCTAATTTGGATAAAATGCAATTTGAAAATAGTTTTCAGTTTAGTTGCAACAATCGAAAATATTATCGGAAATTCTGTATTAGACTAGACTAAAATTAGCTGATATATATCTTTATATTCAAAACTTTCAAGTTATTTTTATCACACATCTCACCTGTTGGGAACAAGATCCTATGAACCAGATTCCACAGACAGCAATAAGCAAAGTAATAACAATTGTTCGTTTTGAAATCGTAATGCTATTGTTCATATTTGCTTCAACCTAAAACGAAAAATAAATGTTACTGATAAATTATAAGCTTAATAATTTTATTTATATATGTATATTTTGCTATACGAATTGGTACAGTGAAGAATGTGTTAGCCTATTGATTAAAGGTTTATAACAGCGGGTCTCAACCAGTGCGGGAACACAGAAACATTTCAAAGTGGGCCATAAACCTATTACTATAGTTATCAATAGATAAAGCAATTAATATTGATCGTAGTGACAATGAATAATGATGTTGTTTTGCTCTACTGAATGGTGATTTACATTTAAATTATTTAAGTGATAGTGCCTATCTTTAAGCAGAGAATTTTTCGTTTTTCTTATAGATTTTCTCTTGCATGAGAAAGTTGGTGGTACAAACGAAGAACGGTTGAAAATCACTCCTCTTGACTTAACTATGGAATTTTGAGTTTTAATCCCATGACCACCACATCACCCGGGGTGTAATAAATTGGGTAGGTAACGCCAAACCGGAATAAATCCCGTTCTTCTCATAAAAATTACAGCTATTTATATATATTAATGGATGGTTGAGCCGAGACTTGTTTAGAGCGAATTTTTCAGTGATCAGAATTCAGAAGTCATATTCTGTTTGTTGCGCATCAAGAAATATTGTGATAAGAAAAGCATCTGATTGCATAAAACTTGCAAAGATGTGCAGCTTCGAGAATATACAGTAACAATCAATGTGTGCTCGTATTAAACGAATCTCTATTTTCGGTAAGTTCTAAATCATGCTAACGATGTAATTGTTGGATATAAACGATTTTTATAATTTGACATGATAATTTCAGAATACCTGTAGGATCTTTGGCTCCAATTCCTGAATTTCTGTGTTGCTCATTTTACAAATGTCGTTTGTTTCAACCTTAGTTTAAATCAACTAAGAAAAATTGAGCTGTGTATCAATGTGAGCTTTATATTAGTATTTTAACTTCTGTACATAATAATGTAATATTTTTAGGCTCTATTCGCCTTCCTGAACTCTCTGTAAACAGAAAACAAAACTGTGTGCGCAAGACTGCTTGTTTCTAGTGTGTTGTTGAAACAAGATCTTTGCATTTCTGCTGCTGAATAATATTATTCTGTAAAAGCTAGCTATATCCAAGAAATTAGATGAGTCCCTCATTAAAATAAATATATTAGCCTTCATTACCGTACCCGTAGTTCTATTGCTAACAACAACGACATCCGCGGAGTATTATTTGAACAAGCGGTTTCGTCTGAATCATTGTTTTTATAAAGATATCTCCAAATGCTATACTAAATGTAGCCATAACTCTCAGGTATTCGTTGCCTATTAAAATAGTGTTGTTCACAAGCCCCCCGATTGCAGCGTTTAGAAACGAGCGGGCGATACTTCAAAAAATGTTTCTAAATTGGTAAAAATAGGCAATACGTACACTATTACAAAAAACGCAAAGTTGATTAGATTTTGCAGTCACTAGTATTTAGACATATTGATTGATGTTTATATGTTTTCTTGCTTTCTATTTCACGCAAATGTTTTTTTTGAATATGTAAAAAATATCTCAAGGCAGGTATAGTCAGTTAATTTTGATGCGTTGCACGCTTGATTAGTAACTTCAAACTGTTGATATATTTTACTGTTTTTTGTTACGTCCGCACTGAAAGGCGAATTTCATTTTAGGGGTTTTCCCGCGGCGATGTTGATCGCGCAATAGAAATATTCGCTTCCATCACATTTGAACCCATGTACATTTGAACCCACGACAATTGCACCTGCATACTATTGCACCTATGGAAATTGTTTTGTTTTACGGATATTTGAACCCATACTAACCCTAACCCATGGGTTTTTGCACCCGCATAGAGATTGAACCCGCGGATTCAAATGTACGTGAGTGGGTTCAAATGTACGGTCACCGAAATATTCAGCGTTAAGTCATGTGGAAATAACATCTTTCTTTCATCTCTTGCCTTGGATTCTTGGCCTAATATAGCGTGTCAGCTATTGTCTGTACGACTGCATCTAAACAGCCTGGCTATACACAAGACAATCCAAGACGTTTTGTATGGTCACCAAATCGATGGTGGATGTGGAATCACTATTGTGGCAAACGTTCGGCCGTCGTTAAAGACATGCATTATAAGGCATCAAATGAATGTGAACCATCTACCCTTTTATGACTAGTAGTCGATTAAATGGCTGTAATCTACTTCACATCTTATTATTTTTTATCTTATTATTCCACAATTTGTATTAATGACGCCTCAATCATTAAGCAAAGGCAGTGTATACAGTCGGTTTATTATTTGGGCGGCTACAAGTTAGGATAACGCTGCATTAGTAATGAATTGTAAAAAAAGAGAATGAGGTGGTCGCATAAAAATATAGATAACAACAATCTTTGCAAAAAAACGCAGCAACACAGTCAATTGTGCTGTGACTAAATGAGCAGTTTGGGTTTTCTGCCGGTTTCCTTTCCCACTTGTTTCCCAATGAAAATCGATTTTCTACGCAACTATATCGGGCCAATTTATTTTGAATTCCCAGTACTAGGAAAAGGAAGAAATCGCTGTTCGGTTATTACTTTTATCTGTCTTGTTCATAAATCGACCTGCGGTGTCCGATATTTCACTAAAATTTGTTTTTATATTCACGGGCACACTGTCATATGACATTCGGTGCAATTTTGTCAATATTTGACTGGGAATCATCATTTGACCTCCACATATTTGTTCATTGCACTCATGTTTCACTTCTGATTGTGGCGGCTACATGTCATTTTTCAGAATACGTAATCTGACCCGTAGAAAAATATAGGAGCATCTACAGTGTTGTTGTTGTTCCGGTCCGGATAAAATTCTTTCTCCAATTCACTCTTGCTCCAGAAAATTACTTTTCGTATCGTGCCCATATGTTTGTAAGCAAAATAAATGACATCGGGGCCGAGAAATACAAGGATAATTTCAAATAAAATACGAGCATTCATTTCTTCAAATTCGCTTATAAGAATTGCAGCGTTTCCCGCGAACGTTCAAAGGCTTGCAATATCATGACAAAAACTTCATGTGTTTCATCTTCTTACGCTTTATAGCATACATAAGTGCTCGCGACAGCTATTTACTGCATAGATTACACAAAGCGACAATCAATTGTCTTGTTAAGTATGTGAAAAAAGTTTAACAAAAGTTATTCTTGCCAATTTTTTCAAAAAATCAACATATATAATAATGTATAACAGAAAGACAGTATAACAGAAAGTCCAAGGCAAACTATTGACAAGCTACTGAAAGCTAATGACTTGTCATCGCAGTATTTCAAATGCGAATCGTCCACATAAAAACTATTGCTACAAGTTTTACTGCTAGATTGATCAACCTGACTTCTGATAGACCTATTCAGTCACGTTTTACGGCGTATTGATTAGAAGGAATTTAGCGTGTTCGTTTGAGACTAGAATTGGACTCATTGAAGACTGGACAGTTTGAATCTCGTTTATTGCAAATATTTCTTTCTATTTTCTATTTAATGATTTCTCACATTGACCACCAAAACACTCTTACAAACTGTTTTAAACTGGTCAAATTTTATTCTTAATCGTGTTGTGAGTAACTATACAAACTAAGATAATGAATTATTTGACAACGCATCGCAATTGTAGCTAAAATAAACCTGCTATTTGTATCGGCCCCACTACCAAATCAAATATTTATCGTCATTTCTAATATTTCAACTTATGGAAAAGTGCATACGCAAGTATTTGCGTATTTGACGATATACGAGAATTGTTCAAATATCACGAGTTTATAAATTATGTCAGAAACTTAAAATGTATATAGTTACTGTCTTCCCAGTATAACGTAAGTCAATTTTGCCAAACTGTATTTTCGAAATCATCGCCACATACAGCATTTCGCGATTATCATGAAGGATATCGTTATTTACTTTTACTGCATTATATTATATTACTGTCTGGCAAATTTCATTATCTTAGGCCTTGCTATTATATTGCAAAACATAGCGCAGCGCGATGTCTGCACGACAAAGTTACATCGCTTTAGCTGCAGCGGGGAAAGCACCGGAACCGGGGAAATACTTTCTGGTTCAAAATCACGTTTTGCAAAAGAAAAATGGTCTCTGACGCAAATTGCATAATCGCACAGTAAGTTTGTTGTATTACACAAATAAACAGACCACGTGCCTACGCGAGTGAAATAGCAATATATGCTATTAATGGTCAAATAGATTGCTCGCTTGCAAATCTGAAGGACAGCGTTTGGTTGCTATGAACATGCATGTACGGGCATAGCTCAGCTGAGAATACCACAGTAGAATAGGAAGAAAATTCATATTTTTTCGAGCAGTTTGCAGTTTGATAAAACGACTTAAGCAGGATCTGCCTGACCTACAGCCCGACAAAACAATTTGATGATATATATGGTTGAACAGTTAAACGTCCCAATACGTGCTACAGAACAAGATAATGAAAAAACATTATGTTGAACACGTCTGAATATAGTGTAGATGGGAAATCGGGCCAATGAGAAACTTATAGTCGCGTTATCAAACTTTCATGATCTGTTGACCATTCCGATGTCTCTCAGAACTTTTAAAAATAACTAGTTTTGCTTCAAGCGTTTTTCATCTGTTATTTTATGCGCAACGTTTAATAATAGTCAACTAACGAAAAAAGGAAATAATAGCCTACGTCTTCCATTCAAAGAATCAAACAAATCCCCGTCAATTTATATTGAATTAATGTAGTCCAATGGTACTAAGTGGAGAATTTTGTTCTTTAGCGGCCCCGTGTCTATGATTTCATTGCCTGTGACTGCACCTTTTTAACAGATTATTATTAGTTATACAATAATCTATCAAAGAATCATGAATAATTATCGTTTTGTGCGAGAACCACCATCTTTTAGGTTCCAACATGAATTCGGTGAACCACCATATGGACCGCCTCACCCTATGCACGGAAGGGGTGGTAATGTTATATACGTTAATTTTTCTGGAGCTTTGAGCTCACTAAGTGAGTATAATTTGTTTTCAGTAATATTTTTTTTTCAAAATTTGTGAATGGTAACTGGTGTTATTGAAGTGTCTCGGGGAGTTGGCGCGTCCATGTATTTCAGTGACCTTTCGTTCCACGATAGAGTCCACAATCAAATTTAATCCTGTATGATCTTGTTGCAAATGTTCCGGTCATTGTAAAGCCGTCTTAATTAAATAGCAGTGCCTTGGGTTATCAGAATTCAAAAGTTCCTGCTTGGGTATTGTGATTGAAGTTTTTCTATTTTGTTGACCTTGTTCTAGGTCACAGGTTTGCTAAACTGCTTGTAAATGGAATTACAAAGTTTAATTAAAATTATTGGTATGATTAAGAAAAATGCATAATTCGCCTTTATTTCGTTTAGTGTGGACATGGCCGCTTTTCGACATTTCAAACTTCGATTGGCGGCGTTTACTCACTACGGGAAGTGGATTCAAACTGTTTCTCCGATATATTATCACAATAACATTATCCATGTCTGGATTGGTAGGGGTTGCTTGTGCAACATGGGCTTGGGGACAAAATTATTACTTTTTGTTTATTCTAGCCATGATCAATAATCAACCCATATTTTCATCATTCATTATGATTAGGATCGACTATATCGTAGATGTACGTTCTAAATGTGTTGTATCGTTTTTGCACTTGGTGTTTTTGTCAGTTTTATTTACTGGTTTCTATGCTTTGGTAATTTACGCGGAGAACATGATTGGATATGTATTATTTGGTATTTTTCTGGTTGTTATTTTTTTGCGGGCTTTAGCCATACATATATTACTTGTAATAATATCTCTCAGGAATGATATTCTTATTATGCTTCCGCAAACAGAGGAGCGCGCCACACAAGGAGAACGTGGACAATATTTTTAGAGGGTGTGGACTAATTAGAAATAAAATTGTTGGATTTGATCTTGCTCGCCTTATTTTTGATATTTACATTTCTTTATTTTGGATATT